TGTACTCTTCTGATTTACTTTTTAAATTTTAATATTAATTTTTTTTGTTGGTCATAGGGCTTGAACTCTGGGCCTGGGTGCGGTCCCTGAGCTCTTCAGCTCAAAGCTAGCACTCTACCACTTGAGCCATGGCACCACTTCCAGCATTTTCTGTGTATGTGGTACTGAGGAATCGAACCCCAGGGCTTCATGCATGCTAGGCAAGCACTCTACCACTAGGCCATATTCCCAGCCCTACTCTTCTGATTTCTATTGAAATTGGTTACCTCCTTGGCGTGCTTTTAAATTCATGGTTTTCTTTTTGTGTGACTTGTCTGATTAGGCCCTTGACTCATTTCTTCCCTTTTGGTTTTCTTTTCTTTCTTTTTTTTCCTATTTGTAGCGAGCTTTTGTAGAGCTACATATGATTCTAGATATTGCAAATATCTTTTCCCACTCTGTGATTTGCCTTATTATTATTATTATTATCAGAAAAAAGTTCTCAGATTCACAATCCTCTTGCCTTATCTTCAAAGTGGACATTACAGATGTGTACCACAATATCTATCAGTATCAAATATAGGGCCTTGCACACAGTAGGCAACAGCTCTATAACTAGCCTACAACCCCAGTACCTTTAGTGGTATAATGTATACTTCCTTCCTTCCCTCTCTCCCTCCCTTCCTTCCTTCCTTCCCTCCTTTCCTCCCTTCCTCCTTTGTTCCCTTCCTTTCTTCCTTCCTTCCTCCCTCTCTCCATCCTTTCTCTTTTTCCCTTTTTCTTTTTGTGCTGGTCCTGGGACTTAAACAGTATCTGGGTGCTATCTCTGAACTTTTATGCACAAGCCTACTACTCTACCACTTGAGCCACAGCTCCACTGCTACCTTTTTGGTGGTTAATTGAAGATCAGTGTCTCATGGACTTTCCTGCCTAATCTGGCTTTGAACTTTGATCTTCAGATCACAGCCTCCCGAATAGCTAAAATTACAGGTGTGAGACAACTGGCATAGATCTTAACTCTATATATGTCTATGCCAAAGAGCTCTTCATGGTACCTTGATTATTGGGCAGTACTATGTTCCTCCTGTCTAACACTCTTTGTCTATTTCTTAACCTCCACTCCTACGTACACCCTAGTTGCTGTGTGTGTGTGTGTGTGTGTATGTGTGTGTGTGTGTGTGTGAAAGAGAGAAAGAATAGAGAGAGATTGTCTGTTTAGGGTAAGTTCCTCCTAGGCTGTGCCTCCCAAGTTCATACCATCACCATGCCCAATGATTTTTTTGTAGTTTTAACTCTTAGAACCAGCAATTATAAACTTATCTTCCTTCCTTCCCTCTTCCTTCCCTCTTCCTTCACTCCTTCCTTCCTCCTTTCCTTTCCTTTCCTTTTTTTCCTTTCCTTTCCTCTTTCCTTTCCTTTCCTGCAAGTACTGTAGCTTGAATTTTGGGCCTCATGCTCTCCCTTAGCTTTTTTGCTAAAGGTTGACACTCTACCATTTGAGCCATACCTCTACTTCTGATACATTTCATCATTTAAACCTTAAACTATCTTATGAAGTAGGTAGTATTATTATTCCCTGATATATGTAACTGATATATGTAACATATCCCTGAGATATTTAACTGCCTCAGTGTTACAGATGCCACAACTAGTTCATGAATCCTAGTATGGTAGGCAGATTTCTAAGATGCCTTTTTACTACCTACCTGGCTGTGTTCAGACACTTAAATCCTAGCTACTCAGGAAGCTGAGATCTGAGGATTTCAGTTTGAAGCCAGCCCAGGCAGGAAATTTCTTGAGGTTTTTTTTTTTTTTGGTCCAGTCATGGGCCTGAACTTTGGGCCTGGGTGCTGTCCCTCAACTCTTTACTTCAAGGCTAGCGCTCTACCACTTGAGCCACAGTGCCACTTCTGGCTTTTTTTTTTTTTTTTTCTGCTTATGTGGTGCTGAGGAATTGAACCCAGGGCCTCATGCATGCAAGGCAAGCGCTCTACCACTGAGCCGCCTTCCCAGCCCTTCTTGAGATTTTAATCTCCAATTAACCCCTCAAAAGCCAGAAGTGGAGATATGGTTCAAATGGTAGAGCACTAGCTTTGACCAAAAAAGCTCAGGGACATTGCCCAGGCCCTGAATTCAAACCTTAGGACTCTCTCTGTCTCTCTCTGTCTCTGTGTCTCTGTCTTTGTCTATGTCTGTCTCACTGTCTCTCTCTCTCTCTCACACACGCACACACAAATATGCCACTTATATAGTTAGGTTACAAAACATGGTAACTTCTATTTTGTCAGGAAACTTTATTGTTTTCTCAACTTGCATGCTTTGATAAAGCAAGCTGCCATGCTGGTTGGAGGGATACTCATTATAAGGAACTGAGGTAGCCAATAGCCAATAAGGAATGGAGGCTTTCTGTCCAATAGTCCTGGAGGAGTTATGTCCTGTCAATAATCACGAGTGAGCTTGGAAGTGAGCTTCCTCAATCAAGCAGGACTTGGATTGCATTTTATGATTAACTTTGATCCAGATTAACTCTGAATTGTGCATAGATTCCTGACCCACAGAAACTATGATTTAGCTGGCTCACATCTGTAATTGTACCTACTTGGGAAGCTGAGATCTGAGGATCCTGGTTTGAAACTAGCCCGGGCAGACAAATCTGAGAGACTGTTATCTCCAATTAATCATCAAATCACTGAAAGGGGAGATGTGACTCAAGCGGCAGAGTATCAGCCTTGAGTGAAAAAGTTAAAGGAAAGCTCTAGGCTCTGCTTCAGGCCCCCACTACTGGGCACAAGCAACAGCAACAAAAACAAAAACTCCACTTTTATTTTTTTCTTTTTGAGATTGAGCTTCACTATGTAACAAAAGTGGGTCTCAAATTTGTAATCCTCCTGCCTAGCCTCGTAAGTGTTGATAATATAGGCAAACACTATCAGGCCTGAGTAAATGTTGTTGTTTTAGGCTATTAACTTTTGGAGTAATTTATTGTATGATAATAGAGAAAATATATAGACAGACTGGATGCAGGCACTTGAATGGTGGAGGCAAGAAGTTCTTAAGCTGAAGGCCAATCTAGGCTACTTTATTTTTATTTAGCTATCTATTATTTTGTCAGTTGTGGGACTTGAACTCAGGGCCTGGGTGCTGTCTGAGCTCTTTTGCTCAAAGCTAGTGTCCCGTTCCCTTCCCTCCTCCCCCAGTCCTGGGGCTTAAACTCAGGGCCTGGACACTGTCCCTGAGTTTCTTTTGCTTAAGGTTAACACTCTACCACTTGAGCCACAACATCACTCCTGGCCTTTTCTGTTTGTATGGTACTGAAAAATCGAACCCAGGGCTTGATGGCATGCTAGGCAAGCACTCTACCACTAAACCACATTACCAGCCCCCTCAAGGCTAGTGTTTTAATACTTTGAGCCACAGCACCACTCCTAGTTTCTAGGATCCTAAGATCTCAGCCTCCTGAGGAGCTAAGATTACAGGTATGAGTCACTGGTGTCCATCTAGCTACTTTAGAGAGACTGTTAAAAGTAAAATACACCAGTAGTCCTAGCTACGTTTCTAGAAATGGCGCTGTGGCTCAAAGTGGTAGAACTCTAGCCTTGAGCAAAAAAGCTCAAAGGCGTGGCCCGTGTCCCAAGTTCAAGCCCCACAACTGATAAGAAAAAAAAAAAGAAGAAAAATATACACTAGCTGAATCTGATTAGCTCCAAGTTCACACTCTCCCCAATCACATTAGATTGTTTCTATAACTCTATAAGTCTCCAGGTACAAAGAGATGATGCGGTAGCTTGGTCTGATTTTGGAGGGCAAAGATTCTGTTAAATAGGGGCTGGGAAGGTGGCTCAGTGGTAGAGCGCTTGCCTTGCATGCTCGAGGCCCTGGGTTCGATTCCTCAGCACCACATAAGCAAAAAGAAAAAAGCCAGAAGTGGAGCTGTGGCTCAAGAGGTAGAGCGCTAGCCTTGAGCTGAAGAGCTTAGGGACAGCGCCCAGGCCCAGAGTTCAGGCCCCACGACCGGACCCAAAAAAAAAAAAAAGATTCTGTTAAATAGACCTTTCTTGAGTCTGGCAAGCAGAATCCCATGGAGCCAAGAACTTGTCAACACTGAATCCTGAGCTAATGAGGCCAACAAAATATCTACTCTAGTGGTGCTCAACTCTGGCAGTACATTAGAATCATCTGAAGAAGAATCCCACATGTTATTTCTAACTAATTAATAAAAAACCAAGTAATTTGGGAGTGGAAATGATAAATCTGTACACCGTACTACATATCTTCTTACTTTGTACCATCTGGCTTTTTCCAGTTCCTCACATGTGCATGCACCATTTTTCAAAACCACTGTGCGTAAAATGCTTCTTCTTCATCCTTCATTAACTAAATATGATCTGATTTTTATATACCAGGCATTATTTCAAACACAAACACAAAATGAGCATGAAAAAAGATGTGAGGTCTTCTGATATTAGACTTTAATAACTAAATTTAATCACTTGTTTAAATGATTGAAATTAAAACTTGGAGTGCTGTGTGTTGTGGTGTAATTCTGTAAATCCCAGCTTTTGGAAGGCCAGCAGGAGGATTAAGGGTTCCAGGTCATCCTGGACTACTGTTCAAAATCAAAACAAAACAAAGCAACATTCTACTGTGTGGTACGATCTTGTTAAATCATTTTGGAAGTAGCCAGTCAGCTTTAAGGGCTAGTCCCTTTCAGGAAGCCCAATAGGAATTCTTCAATGAAAAGAATCTGTTTTGGTGAGGAAACTTAACCCACGTGGGAGGAGCAAGGGGCTGCCAGCTTCACACAGGTGAGGGCAAGCCGCTCCCATCCCGGCTTTAAGCCTCCAAAGTGTAAGGGGACTCCACCTCTTACGTGCGCGTGAGTGAGGGGCGTGGTCTGAGGACTAGTCGCGATTTGATTGGCTGGAGGGAGGGAATCCACGGGTTGGCTCCGCCCAGGCGCTTGCACGGGTCTCCGGTTGGAGTGACGGGAGGGAGTCCCTTTTACTTCTGCCTCCCAGCTATGGCGCCGTGGTGCCGCACCCAGTCCCCAGCTGGCCGCCCGCTACTCGACGACGCTATCCCAAGTTCCCACAGAGGGTGAGGATTGGAGTAGGTACGCGGGAGCGGCGGGGCGCTGCCTGAGACCGGAACCATGAGGAGTTGCCGGACCTGTGGGGCGGTTAGCTGGAGCCGCCGCGGCACCTGCTGAGGAAAAGGGAGAGGCCGGCCGGTGAGGCGGCGGCGCGGTCGGGGCGCGGCGGAGGCTCGCCGGCTTCTCGGCCATGTCACTGCTCTGCGTGCGCGGTGAGTGTGCTGCTTGGGGCAGGGGAGGAGAGACGGGGGTCCCCGACTCATTGCCACTCGGCTCTAGGGTTCTACTGAGCGCCGTTACCACCTCACCCCAAACTTCACTTGCCATCCGTGCCTGGGGGGACAAATATGTTAAACAGCCGTTTCTACACCCTTGAAGATTTCTCCCACTCTTTCCCGAGTCCTCTCCGGTGCCGCTGGGGACGGTTGAAGACTCGAGAGTGTTGGGCGGCGGACTCAGGTCCTGTAAATCACGGGCAGGGTTCTCTAACCGGAGTGAATGAGAAAGGCGGCCGCGGGTAGTTGGCGCCAGTCAGTAGTGGCAGCTTCTCATTCTTTTCTTCTCCTTGCACGAGAAAACTATCGTTTGCTTGGTAGCAGGTGCTTTTCATCACTCTTGGAACGCGTTAGCGGTACAGCTGTCACACCCCTTCTGATAGTGTATTTCTTGGTTTTCATCTCTCACGATTGCTTGTCTTTGTCTTCGGTTCTTTTCTTGAACCTCAAGCCTTATAGTCGAGGCTAAAATTATTCTTATATCCGCTTGGAGAGGTGCATTGTTTTTTCTCCCAGGTTGGCCTTGTATTCGAGATCCTCCTGCTTCAGCCTCCCTAGATAGGGGATTATAAGCATTTTAAAACAAGAAAGAACTCTAGGATTTAAGATGAGGTATGGTTCATAGACTTGGCTCCATGTGAGTAGATTCCCCCCACCCCCCTTCCCCTTCCTTTCTACTTTCCTTCCTCCCTGCCTCCCTCTCTTTTTCTCTCCCCCTCCCTGTCTCGATTTTTTTTTTTTTAGTATGGTATTTCCCAGTGCCTGGCTTAATTGAAGCTCAATGCTGGTTTTAGGCTGATTACAAGGACTGTGATTTTTTATTTTTTTATTTTTTTGTAGAGAGATTAACTGATCAGAAAATGTAAGGTTTGGACTACTTCGCGAATTTGATCCTGACATTCAAGTTCCTGCCTAACATCGGTAGATGGGATAAGGTAGCTTGATTTTGATCTACTACAGTCTTCAGGAGCCTTTTCCTGGCACCCTTTACTGGATGGAGTTCATGTTTCTTTTGGCGGTACAGATTAGAAGCATTGTTGTTTGTGATCTCTCTGATACCAGTGTTTCTCCCAGCTGCTGCTGACAAATGGAACTGCTTTGCCCTGTTCTCCACTGTTTTGTTAAATCTGCATTAACCTCAAATGGGATTTGGTTATTTCCGGGGATTATGAGACACACAATTTTTCTTCTTTCATGGTTGATTTTTCATTAATGAGAATTTTGCTTTGGTTTCAGTGAGACATTTTCTTTGAGCATCTGGGAGTGTATTTATTCCTTTAGATCCCTGCTCTTGAGTAGCAGGATTTGGGAGAGATTGAGTTTTGCAATGTTGCTTGAATGGTTTAATTCTCTACTGCCACACTGTATTATGGGACTAGTTCTTATGAAAGATTCTTCAGGCAGTTGCATTTTTAAATCAGAAATTCCTATTTGATTAAACTTAAGTAACTTCAGAGAAGTAACTGCTGGCATTTCATTTATGACTCTGGCAGCTTTCATTATCTGGAAATTCTGCTATTCTATTTTTTTTGTTTTGTTTTGTTTTGTTTATGTCAGTTGTGGGGCCTGAACTCTGGGTCTGGGCGCTGTCCCTCAGCTCTTCAGCTTAAGGCTAGCGCTCTACCACTTGAACCACAGAGCTACTTCCAGCTTTTTCTGCTTATGTGGTACTGAGGAATCGAACCCAGGGCCTCATGCATGCAAGGCAAGCACTCTACCACTGAGCCATCCTCCCAGCCCCCCCATTTATTTATTGTTTATTGTAGTTTGGGGTTTGAACTCGGGGCTTTAAGCATATTAGGTGGGAGCTCTACCATTTGAGCCATGCCTTCAGCTCTGCTTTTTTGCTGGTTGCTTTGGAGATGGTATCTAGTACCATCTAATAGCCATGCCTCTAGCTTTCCTTTGAATTATAATCCTCCAGATATTAGCCTCCTAGCTACTGCTAGGATTGCATGTGTGTGCCACTGGTCTCTATTCTGTTCTTTCCCTTTTAATGTTAAATTGGTCGTTTTTCATCTTGTTTCCTACAGATTAAAGGCTCTCAATCTAATGACTGACTTTCCTTTTTGGCCTAATATTCTTGATACTCTGTTCAAGCATTGACTTTGTTCATTGCAGCATCTGCTTTGTTCTGTACTGATGCCCCTGAAATACTCTTTGATATTTTTTGCTTATCTAAAATGTATTCTTCCTTTTCCAGTTTAAAGTCTATTTTTTGTTTTATTTTGCTTTTGAAAACTTTAGTAGTCCACAGTGATCTTTCTTCTCCTTGAAACCCTTAAAGCACTTGTGGTCTTGGACAGTACTACTAATTTGGCAATGAATCATATACTGACTGGCACTGTTCTTGTACTGCTCGGCTTATGGTGACATAATAGCATTGGCCAGATCAGACCTGGGATTGTGTTTAGTTGAGGTATTTCCTTGTAAAAGGCACATTGAGAAATAATAACAAGAAGATTAAATTTTTTTTGAGGAGTTGATTGCTTAAGACTAATGAAAGGTATAGAGGTATTTAAAAAAACATGAGAAGTTCAATTGTGAGAAGGTTTAAAAGTAGAGAATCATAATGGTAAATGAAAAGAGTTTTAAAACTTAAGATTATTTTGTTGCTGTATGGAATAGTGGTCTGTGGTTTAAGGTAACAGAAAATCAGATTTGAGCTTAACATAAAGAACTTTGAGCAACAGGGTGGTTATGGTGGCTTAGTGCTAGAGCACTTGCGTAGGCCCTGGGTTCGATCCTTACAACTGAGGGGAAAAAGAAGAAAAGGACACAGTATCACTTGCATTATACAAACAAAATTTGTCATTAGTGATACTAGCTGGACCAAATTGATTTATGTTGTGACTTGCTGTTAAAATCTTTATCATGAATTATCATTACTAATCAGCCATCTAATTAATGGCAGTACTACCAAGAATCTCTTAGAAAGTGAATTTTGATAGCTCAAATATTTATAAGACATTCAGGATTGTGGGAGAATTCTACCCAGGGAGACTTATTAAGGTATATTTTGATTTATAGCTCCTGTGGCAAGTAGGAACTTGATTGTGCCTTGCCTTAGCCAGGTAGTAGTGAAGGGGCAAAGAACCAGTTGCCTCTGTTATGGCTGTTGTCATAAATAACTTTATTTTTTTTGGGTCCGGTCATGGGCCTGAACTCTGGGCCTGGGCACTGTCCCTCAGCTATTCAGCTCAAGGCTAGCACTCTACCACTTGAGCCATAGCGCCACTTCCGGCTTTTTTTTTTCTGGTTATGTGGTGCTGAGGAATCGCACCCAGGGCCTCATGCATGCAAGGCATGCGCTCTACCACTGAGCCACCTTCCCAGCCACATAAATAACTTTCTTATAAGCACTACCCCTTCTCCACCCCCTCCCTCCTGCCTCTCCCCTCAGACTATAGTCTGGCATTTTGCTGGTTAATTTGAGCTTGGACTTGATTGACCAGGCTGGCTTTGAACCTCAATCCTCAGATTTAAGGCTCCTGAATAGCTAGGATTACAGGTGTAAGCCACTGGAGCTTGAACTTGGCACCTGGATGCTGTCCTGAGTGTTTCTGCCCAAAGCTAGGTCTCTACCACTTGAACTTCAGCTCCATTTCTGGCTTTTTGGTGCTTAATTGGAGATAAGAATCTCACTTTCTTGGGTGGGGGGGGGGTGGAGGGAGGATGGGAAGGGATGGGAAGGGGAAACAAAGGAGGAGGCTACAATGCTTGATAAGAAATGTACTCATTATCTTACCCATGTAATTGTAACTCCTCTGTACAGTTTTTTCACAAAAAAAAAAAAAAAAAGGATAACAACAACAAAAAAAAGAATCTCACTTTCCTGTCTAGGCTGGCTTTGATCTGGGATCCTCAGTTCTGAGCCTCCTGAGTAGTTTACGATTACAGGAATGAGCCACCAGTGGCTGACTGAGAGCCTTATTCGTGGCAGACAACCTTTCTAACCCTAAGCCATATACTCAGCCTAATAAACTTTATTTTATTTTACTTTGTGTGTGTGTGTGTGTGTGTATTGGTACTGGGACTAGAATTCAATGCCAGGGTACTGTTGAACCTGTGATCTTCCGCGTCTCAGTCCTCTGAGTAGCTAAAATTACAGACTACTGAACTTGACTTTATGTATTTGTTTAGTTGGTCATGGGTGCTGTCCCTGAGCTCTTCAGCTCAAGACTAGTGGTCCACCACTTGAGCCACAGTACCATTTCCAGTTTTTTGATGGTTAATTGGAGATAAGAGTCTCACGGACTTTCCTGCCCAGGTTGGCTTTGAACCACGACCGTCAGATCTCAGCCTCCTGAGTAGGATTATAAGCATGAGCTACCAGTGCCTGGCTTTTTATTTCATATATTAAAAAAGGGGCTGGGTGCCGGTGGCTCACGCCTGTAATCCTAACTACCCAGGAAGCTGAGATCTGAGGATCTTAGTTCAAAGCTAGCCTGGGCAGGAAAGTCCATGAAACGCTTATCTCCAATAAACCACTAGAAAACCGGAAGTGGCAGAAGTGGTAGAGTGCTTGCCTTGAGCTGAAGAGCTGAGGGACAGTGCTCAAGTCCAGAGTTCAAGCCCCACGACCGACAAAATAAATAAATAAAAAAAAATGGGGGACTCACTTTGTAGTACAGGCTGGCCTCTGACTAATGATCTTCCTTCCCTAGATTATGGGTTTGTACCACCATGTTGAGCTATGTATATACTTTTTTTTTTTTAAAGATATTACTCTTGTTTAGGGTGATGTTCTTCCTGCCTCAACCTCCTCAGTAGCTTTAATGTTCAGTTTTGTCATATTTGAACTGTCATAGAAAAACTATGAAGCCCATTTTTCTAGAGTTGTTGAAGTTTATTTCCTTTTGCATATAATGCCTGGGTTGAACTGCTCTGCATGAGGAAGTTTATGAAGCTATTTTGCATTTCCTGCTTTGTTATGA